AGGAAAATCAGTAAACGAGATGATGGAATATGTGGCAACAAAGTGCAAGGAGGCAGAGGAAAGTTTTGTTCCCAAGGGAAACAGAAATAATAGGAAGACCAAAACGAGTCCTTGGTTTACCCGAAGGTGTAGGGAGGCAAAAACTAAGTGCAACAGAGAATGGAAAAGGTACAGGAGGCATAGGACCCAGGAAAACAAGGAGATTAGTAGAAGAGCCAGAAACGAGTATGCGCAGATAAGGAGGGAGGCCCAGCGACAGTATGAAAACGACATAGCATCGAAAGTCAAATCTGACCCGAAACTGCTGTATAGCCACATTAGGAGGAAGACAACAGTCAAGGACCAGGTGATAAGGCTGAGGAAAGAAGGTGGAGAACTCACAAGAAACGATCAAGAGGTATGTGAGGAGCTCAACACGAGATTTAAGGAAGTATTTACAGTAGAGACAGGAAGGACTCTGGGGGGACAGACCAGATGGGGACACCAACAAGGAATACACCAACAAGTGTTGGACGACATACATACAGATGAGGAGGAGGTGAAGAAACTGCTAAGGGACATCGATACCTCAAAGGCAATGGGACCGGACAACATCTCTCCGTGGGTCCTTAGAGAGGGAGCAGATATGTTGTGCGTACCACTTACCACAATCTTCAACACATCCCTGGAAACTGGGCAACTACCTGAGGTATGGAAGACGGCAAATGTAGTTCCCATTTTCAAAAAAGGAGACAGAAAAGAGGCACTAAACTATAGACCTGTGTCATTGACGTGTATAGTATGCAAAATTATGGAGAAGATTATCAGGAGGAGAGTGGTGGAGCACCTGGAACGGAACAGGAGTATAAATGCCAACCAGCACGGATTCACGGAAGGCAAATCCTGTGTCAAAAACCTTCTGGAGTTTTATGATAAAATAACAGAAGTAAGACAAGAGAGAGAGGGGTGGGTTGATTGCATCTTCTTGGACTGCAAGAAGGCCTTTGACACAGTTCCTCACAAGAGATTAGTGCAGAAGCTAGAGCATCAGGCGCATATAACAGGAAGGGCACTGCAATGGATCAGAGAATACCTGACAGGGAGGCAACAACGAGTCATGGTACGTAATGATGTATCACAGTGGGCACCTGTGACGAGCGGGGTCCCACAGGGGTCGGTCCTAGGACCAGTGCTATTTTTGGTATATGCGAACGACATGACGGAAGGGTTAGACTCAGAAGTGTCCCTGTTTGCAGATGATGTGAAGTTAATGAGAGAATTAAATCTGATGAGGACCAGGCAGGACTTCAAAGAGAACTGGACAGACTGGACACCTGGTCCAGCAAATGGCTTCTCGAATTTAATCCTGCCAAATGCAAAGTCATGAAGATAGGGGAAGGGCACAGAAGACCACAGACAGAGTATAGGCTAGGTGGCCAAAGACTGCAAACCTCACTCAAGGAGAAATATCTTGGGGTGAGTATAACACCGAGCATGTCTCCGGAAGCACACATCAATCAGATAACTGCTGCAGCATATGGGCGCCTGGCAAACCTGAGAACAGCATTCCAATACCTTAGTAAGGAGTCATTCAAGACACTGTACACCGTGTATGTCAGGCCCATACTGGAGTATGCAGCACCTGTTTGGAACCCGCACTTGATAAAGCACGTCAAGAAACTAGAGAAAGTACAAAGGTTTGCAACAAGGTTAGTTCCAGAGCTAAGGGGAATGTCCTATGAAGAAAGATTAAGGGAAATCGGCCTGACGACACTGGAGGACAGGAGGGTCAGGGGAGACATGATAACGACATATAAAATACTGCGTGGAATAGACAAGGTGGACAAGGACAGGGAGGGGACACAGAAACAAGAGGCCACAATTGGAAGTTGAAGACACAAATGAGTCAGAGAGATAGTAGGAAGTATTTCTTCAGTCATAGAGTTGTAAGGCAGTGGAATAGCCTAGAAAATGACGTAGTGGAGGCAGGAACCATACACAGTTTTAAGACGAGGTTCGATAAAGCTCATGGAGCGGGGAGAGAGAGGGCCTAGTAGCAACCGGTGAAGAGGCGGGGCCAGGAGCTAGGACTCGACCCCTGCAACCACAAATAGGTGAGTACAAATAGGTGAGTACACACACACACACACACACACGTAACCACAAATAGGTGAGTACACACACAGACACAGACACACACACACACACATACACACACACAGAGACACACACACACACACAAACACACACACACAAACACACACACACACAGTTTAGTTTAATATCTTTATTATGCACCCCATACCCATCCTGTGGGCGGTAGTCAAAAGATTACAAAGGTATATAATGGGTCCAGTGACTGGACCCCAAATTTATGATAGCTGAACTAGTTACAAAGGTAATGAACTCCAGGTAGATCTGGTCACAATCATGGCAAGTTACAGAGGTAATGAATCAGCCTCACTCCTATACATGGTTACAGTCATGAACAAATTACAAAGTAATGAACCACTGATACGTCCACACCTGGTCACAATTGTAATGAGTTATAAATACAAATATTAAGTGGATCATACACCCACACCAGCGCGCGCGCACACACGTACACACACGAGGGCGCACGCACGGACATGTGCACACGAACGTACAAATATATGTATACACACAAGGACGCACACCCACACACACACACACACCCACACACACACCCACACACACACCCACACCCACACACCCACACCCACACATACACCCTCACACACACCCACACACACACACACACACACACACACACACACACACACACACACACACACACACACACACACACACACAACCACACCCACACACACACCCTCACACACACCCACACACACACCACACCCACCCACCCACACACACACACACACACACACACACACACACACACACACACACACACACACACACACACACACACACCACACACACACACACACACACACACACACACACACACACACACACACACACACACACACACACACACACACACACCCAACACCCATCACACCACACACACACACACACACCACACACACACACACACACACACACACACACACACACACACACACACACACACACACACACACACACCACACACACAACCACACCACACACACACACACAACACACACACACACACACACACACACACACACACACACAACACACACACACACACACACATGGTAATGCATTATTTACAGCTAGCAAAGTCAGGGTATTTCTCCAGAATGGTCTGTAATATACCACTCTGGATAAAATACTTTGTCATTTCTTGAACATTTCTGAGTTGTTTCTAAATTCAATAATTTGATCACACTCCAGTACATAATGACGCAGGGTGTGACAATAGTCCATCTGGCAAAGTTTACATTTCGTTTAGTCTACATCTGGTGGTGGTGATTTAACCTGCCATAGATACTTGTAACCCAGCCGGAGCCGGGCAGTAGTGACATCCAAGAGTCTGCTTATCTTGTTGGATGCACCATAGACATGTGGCTCCTCCTGCATGATGGAATGATGATAGATGGACTGACTTGTGTCAATCTCCCTAAGTCTTAAGTCAATAAAGTTCATTTGAAGTTCTTTTCGTATTATTATTCTCAAACTGCTAACTGACAACCCAAGATTGTAATCTACCCCCTCTTTGAAAGCATACAGCTTAGCCAATTTATCAGTTCTATCATGCATCTGAAGACCAATGTGAGATGGAATCCACAGCATGTGCACTCTGACTCCACTGTCCACAGGTACGAAAGCCAAAACTCCATCACCAACTGAAGCATCCACCACCACCACGCCACCTTCCTCTGCTACCAACACCACCACCGGCGAACCACCTGCCGCCACTACCACTGCTACCAAAAAAACACCTCCAGTCCTCACACCTACACAGGTTGCTGAAATCGATGGAGGATTAAGGGGAGTACGAATCATGGCCTGGCGTCAAGTTCTACACTAATAACCAACACAACAACAATATATTCTGCGACGAACTCTACCAACGAGCCAAAAATGGGACTGTGAAGTTTCCCAGCGACCCAGATCAACACAGCACCACTCAAAACATGCTTGAGGACATCCATGAGTGCATTACCGACTATGAGAGCATGACCCGGATCATCCGCGTCTCCAGGACGAAATTCAAAAGCATCATAAACGCTAGTCCCCACTAGCATTGCTTCCCATCAACCAATCACCATGAAGCTGAGTTCTCCAGCACTCTGGCATGGGATCATGGGACCCTGTAATTGTCGCTTTCTCTGCCCTTCCTGGTACTGCCTGCTGCTGTGCAGCTTCATCAGCCTTCCTCGCATCGCCAACTACTGCGCAGCTGGCATGCCCTTCAAGACACTCTGGAAAAGGCCCGGCCGGTAAAAGTACTGGTGAATCTACAACTACAACATGATAATGTTGATGCAGTGGTGTCAATCATGCACATGCTATGATATTAGTTAGAGTGACTTTATACAACTGAGTTACCTTTTGAAGATATCGAAGAACATAACATACTCTGGCTTGTAATTTCGTGTGCCTACTTATTACATATTTTTTGTGACAAGTCACTTTTTGACTATATTTTTCTTTTAGCATCGCCACATACAATTGAAGATGGTGGAAACTGAGGACCATAATACGTTTAAGTGGAAGGGAAAAGATGAGAGACAGATTTGCAAATAGTATTATGTATATGTATTGCGTGTGTAAGTTGAGACAAAATAATAACTTGACACAACGACTCTAACAAACTGAGGTAAAGACACAGGTGCAAAAGAAAGAGTTTTTATTCCTAGAACGTTTCTCTCAAGTTATGATACAACTCAGTAGAGAGAGAATCATCGACACAATAAAAGCTTGTTCTATAGTTGTTTCTTAACTTTAATGCAATCGGCAGGATGCTGCTCTGGCTTAAATTGTTTACAACATCCGTATTAGTACGCTGTAATTATCTTCTATTTCTAAAACGGTTACAGACATGAATGTTCCTGCGTATTGGTTGTGGGAGCGGGTGGTGTTGATGGTGTGGATGATAGTGACACTGGTGTTAACACGGAGTTACTCTGGCAACCTCATGGCTCTCCTGGCAGTGAGACACATCCCTCAACCTTACCAAACACTACGTGACGTGATGGACGACCCGTCAGTAAAGCTAATATGGGAAAAAGACTCTGCAACTGTCCCATTTCTAAGAGTGCGTCACAGAAACCTGAATGTTGCTGTAATATAAAGGCATATTATATAAAGTGAACATCCAAGCCCTTTCCGTGATTTCTCACATTATCAAGGATAAATAACGAAAGCGTTTGGACGGTCACTATATTTTCACAGTGGATGTTCTCCATATTGTGATACCTCCTGTTTACTATGATCTTGTTGCATATTATATACATACACACACACACACACACACACACACACACACACACACACACACACACACACACACACACACACACACACACACACACACACACACACACACACACACACACACACACACACACACACATACACACGTCAGGAACAAGCACTTGCATGCTGTAGTACACACGCAAACACACACAGGGAGCTAGTGATCATGTGGTTCTGTGCTTCGACTACATAATTGAGCTCCAAGTGGAGAGAGTAGCAGGAATAGGCTGGGAAAACCAAACTACAAAAGGGGGAACTACTCAGGCATGAGGAACTTCCTTCAAGACATTCAGTGGGAGAGGGAACTGACAGGAAAACCAGTACAAGAAATGATGGACTATGTGGCAACAAAATGCAAGGAGGCAGAGGAGAGGTTTGTTCCCAAGGGAAACAGAAATAATGGGAAGAACAGAACGAGTCCTTGGTTCACCCAAAGGTGTAGGGAGGCAAAAACTAGGTGTACTAGAGAATGGAAAAGGTACAGAAGACAGAGAACTCAGGAAAATAAAGAAATTAGCCGAAGAACCAGAAACGAATATGCACAGATAAGAAGGGAGGCTCAGAGACAATATGAAAATGACATAGCATCAAAAGCAAAGACTGACCCGAAGCTGTCGTACAGCCACATCAGGAGGAAAACAACAGTCAAGGACCAGGTAATCAGACTGAGGAAGAGTGATGGGGAATTCACAAAAAACGACCGAGAGGTATGTCAGGAGCTCAACACAAGATTTAAAGAGGTATTTACAGTGGAAACCAGTAGGACTCCAGGGAATCAGAACAGGGGGGCACACCAGCAAGTGCTGGATGAGGTACATATAACCAAGGAGGAGGTGAAGAAGCTGCTATGCGAACTTGACACCTCAAAGGCGGTGGGACCAGACAACATCTCTCCATGGGTCCTTAAAGAGGGAGCAGAGATATTGTGTGAGCCATTAACAAAGATCTTCAACACATCATTTGAAACTGGGCAACTCCCTGAGGTATGGAAAATGGCAAATGTAGTCCCAATTTTTAAAAAGGGAGACAGACATGAGGCACTAAACTACAGACCTGTATCACTAACGTGTATAGTATGCAAGGATCATCAGGAGGAGGGTGGTGGAGCACCTGGAAAGAAACAAGTGTATAATTGACAACCAGCACGGTTTCAGGGAAGGAAAATTCTGTGTCACAAACCTACTAGAGTTTTATGACAAGGTGACAGAAGTAACACAAGAGAGAGAGGGGTGGATCGACTGCATATTTTTGGACTGCAAGAAGGCCTTCGACACAGTTCCTCACAAGAGGTTACTGCAAAAGCTAGAGGATCAGGCACATATAACAGGAAGGGCACTGCAATGGATCAGAGAATACCTGACAGGGAGGCAACAACGAGTCATGGTACGCGACGAGGTGTCAGAGTGGGCGCCTGTGACAAGCGGGGTTTCCACAGGGGTCAGTCCTAGGACCTGTGCTGTTCTTGGTATATGTGAACGACATAACGGAAGGGATAGACTCAGAAGTGTCCTTGTTTGCAGATGATGTGAAGTTAATGAGAAGAATCAAACCGGATGAGGATCAGGAAGGACTACAAAGATACCTGGACAGGCTACAAGCCTGGTCCAGCAACTGGCTCCTTGAATTTAACCCTGCCAAATGCAAAGTCATGAAGATTGGGGAAGGGCAAAGAAGACCGCAGACACAATATAGTTTAGATGGCCAAAGACTGCAAACCTCACTCAAGGAAAAAGATCTGGGGGTGAGTATAACACCGAGCATATCTCCTGAGGCGCACATCAATCAGATAACTGCTGCAGCATACGGGCGCCTGGCAAACCTACGGATAGCGTTCCGATACCTCAGGAAGGATTCGTTTAAGACTCTGTATACCATTTACGTCAGGCCCATACTGGAGTATGCGGCACCAGTTTGGAACCCACACCTAGCCAAGCACGTAAAGAAATTAGAGAAAATGCAAAGGTTTGCAACAAGACTAGTCCCAGAGCTAAGAGGTATGTCCTACGAGGAGAGGTTAAGGGAAATCAACCTGACGACACTGGAGGACAGGAGAGATAGGGGGGACATAATAACGACATACAAAGTACTGAGAGGAATTGACAAGGTGGACAAAGACAGGATGTTCCAGAGATTGGACACAGTAACAAGGGGACACAGTTGGAAGTTGAAGACACAGATGAATCACTGGGATGTTAGGAAGTATTTCTTCAGCCACAGAGTAGTCAGTAAGTGGAATAGTTTGGGAAGCGATGTAGTGGATGCAGGATCCATACATAGCTTTAAGCAGAGGTATGATAAAGCTCACGGTTCAGGGAGAGTGACCTAGTAGCGATCAGTGAAGAGGCCGGGCCAGGAGCTCGAACTCGACCCCTGCAACCTCAACTAGGTGAGTACAACTAGGTGAGTACAGATACACACACACACACACACACACACACACACACACACACACACACACACACACACAGACACACACACCACACACACACACACACACACACACACACACCACATAAAACACACACACACACAGACACACACACACACACACACACACACACACACAACACACACACACAACACACACACACACACAACACACACACACACACACACACACACCACACACACACACACACACACACACACACACATTCATATTTCAGTTTATTAATTAAGGCTTTCAGTCAGCGAAGTCTGGTATATACCGGGAGATAGCAGACGCAGAAAAGATTGGTCGAGTCATATTCAGACCACATCCGCAGTTCCCAGAAGTTATAGACACCTTGGTTAGACGGGGCGACCACGTCCTCATTAATGACGAATATGACATCAAATCTAATATTGCTCAAGACTTCACGAAAGCAGGTAGGTTCAAAACAACATTGTAAACTATTTAACTAAAAGCATGAGAAGCTAATTGTCATGTAAACTAACTAGGCCTACAATTGCTTTTACTTATATGTACGACTGAATTAAGATGAATGCTGTGGGCTAACCTTATTTTTTACTCCCCTGGTAATGCCTTGAATGCCCATTGAAATATATTGTCTAGTATCATTGTTTTGTTTATATAGAGCATGTTTTAATAAGCAAGTTAATACTTTCGATGATGTGTAATTATAACGTAGCTCCTCTTGGTCCAGCCTGAATTCCACATTTTCCGTCAGCTTTCCTTTTTGCGAAGTCCTCCTTGAATATTTTGCAAATCTTTACATTCTTTTCTTCTGTACTTTGTCAGTGACCCTGGCATGTTCTACAGATGTAATTGTTTGTCTTCAGTTATTTAACCTTTTGCGTGTTGCTGAATAGTAATTTTTATTCAGTTTAGACAAGTGACATGTCATTGTCGCCTTGTCATTATGTTTCTCTTCATATGTGTGTCATTACAGGTGGGGAAAGTTAAAATTTATGTAGTAAAATGATAAATTTATTGCAGGAAAATGTTCATTCTATGAGTCCAAAGAAGAATTTCTGCAGATAAGGCTTGCAATGATTAGTCAAAAGGACAGCCCACTTGTGCCAGCATTAAATAAGAGGTAGTATATGCCTGGCAGTTTTTTCCAGCTATAAGATACCCATTATATATGTATATATAAGAACATAAGAACATAAGAAAGAAGGAACACTGTAACAGGCCTACTGACCCATGAGGAGCAGGTCCATGTCTCCCCTGGATTAGACCAATGACCCACCCAGTCTGGTCACCTCCACTCAAGGATGGAGCACTGTACCAGACCCAGCAGCACAAGCTAGTCAGGTCCAACTCACACCCACCCACACCCACTCATGTATTTATCTAACCTCCTTTTAAAACTACACAACGTTCTAGCCTCTATAACTGTACTCGGAAGTTTGTTCCACTCATCCACAACTCTATTACCAAACCAGTGCTTTCCTATATCCTTCCTGAATCTGAATTTTTCTAACTTGAAACCATTGCTACGAGTCCTGTTTTGGCTGGAATTTTTCAGCACGCTATTTGCATCCCCTTTATTTATTCCTGTTTTCCATTTATACACCTCGATCATATCCCCCCTAATTCTACGCCTTTCGAGAGAGTGCAGATTCAGGGCCCTCAGTCTATCCTCATAGGGAAGATTTCTGATACATGGGATCATCTTTGTCATCCTCCTTTGTACGTTTTCCAGAGCATTTATATCCATTATGTAATACGGTGACCAGAACTGAGCAGCATAGTCTAAATGAAGCCTAACCAATGATACATAGAGTTGAAGAACAACCTGAGGACTTCTATTATTTATACTTCTAGATATGAACCCAAGAATTCTGTTAGCTTTATTGCGAACACTAATGCACTGTTGTCTTGGTTTTAGGTTACTGCTAACCAGAACTCCTAAATCCTTTTCGCAATCGGTAGTATTAAGATCTACATTATTTAGTTTGTATATGGCAAGGTTATTTAACTGTCCAACATTTAGAACTTTGCATTTGTCAATATTAAACTGCATCTGCCACTTCTCCGACCAATGCATCAGTCTATTCAAATCATCCTGGAGTGCTTTAGTGTCCTCATTAGAATGAATTGGACGGCCTATTTTGGTGTCATCAGCAAATTTGCTTATGTCACTATTTATTCCCTCATCTATGTCGTTTATGTAAATTGTGAACAACAACGGGCCCAACACTGACCCCTGAGGAACACCGCTTGTGACGTACCCCCATTCTGATTTCTCCCCATTTATGCAAACTCTCTGCTGTCTATTTGTCAGCCATGCCTCTACCCAGGAAAAAATTTCTCCTCCTATTCCGTGTGCCCTAAGTTTCCTCAATAGCCTCTGGTGTGGAACTCTATCAAAAGTCTTACTGAAGTCCATATACACAATATCATATTCATTGCCATGATCTACCCCCTTTCAAACACCTTAGTGAAAAAAAAATAGTTATATATATATTATATATTATATATTATATATATATATATATATATATTATTTATTATATATATATATATATATATATATATATTATATATGCAAAAAAAACCACTCTGAAAGAATAAGAAATTCCAAGCGCTTTCGTGGAATTTCTTATTCCTTTCGGGAGTGGTTGTTTTGCATATTCTGAAATCACTGTTTACTGTGATCTTATTGCATATATTATATATATATATATATTAAAATATATATATATATATATATATATATATATATATAAATATATATATATATATATATATATATATATATATTATAAGTCTTGCCGAATAGGCAGAACTTGCGATCTTGGCTTAAATATCAACGCTCATCTTGCCAAATAGGACAAGTGAAAATTTGTGTATGCAATAATTTCGCCAAAATCATTCTGAACTTAACGAAAAAAATATATTTCACTGAGTTTGTTTAGTATTAAATTATTGTAAACAAATCTAAAATATATTTAGTTAGGTTAGGCTAAAATAAATTGCGCTTGTTATAACAAGGTTAGGTAAGTTTTTTAAGTTCCTTTTAGTGCAAAATTGTAAATTTTTACATCAACATTAATGAAAAATATATATCTTTAAACGTATTAGAGAAAAATTTTAAAAAGACTTAATTTTAAATGAGTTCTTGCTAATTGATCAGTTTTACATATTCGGCACGACATATATAAATATATATATATATAAAATATATATAATATAAAATATATATATATATATATATATATAAAATATATATATAATATATAATTATATAAGATATAAGGAATTCCCAACTGCATGCAGTAAAAAAACCCCAAATCATACATAAATATATACAAATGCACGTACACACAAACATGCACACTGAGACACGAACAAAAACACATGAAAAATCGTATAGTGATACCGACATGTGGAAAAAAAGAATGTGTACAGGACTGAAGAAGCCACTCGGGGCGAAACGTTTCCTCTAATATATTTCCTGACTTTTTACAAAACACACACACACACAAACACACACACACATTACTGTATATAAATTTTGTTACTTTATTTTCATTTCCTGATGATGTTCGTGTTGTTTATCTCTCAGGATGACGTCGATGACGGAGGCTGGGTTGTTCTTCCAGTGGTTGATAGCTGATGAACCCAACTCCACTGTGTGTGATCATGTTCCCACCAAGATCACTGTCAACGAGGCTCTCTCTCTCAGGAACCTCTGGGTAATCAATATATTTTCTTATTTTCAAAATAAAAGAGAAGGTGAAATATTACTTTACAGATAAGTGAGACACAAGAAAACGTTATCAGTATACTTATCCCTCAATCAAAGACCGAAATATGCCGCAATTTCTCACTTTTCACCAATCAATGTATATGATATTCATATCAAATTTTTAGTGTGTTTAAAAAAATAATATACATTTGATAATATATGTTTATATATATTTCTGAATAATTTAATAGCTTTACTAATGTTAATATTTTAGTCACTATTGTAATTATTTTCGTGTATTTCAGGGAATGTTTGTTATCCTCCTGGTGGGTCATCTTATCAGTCTCTCTGTACTCTGCCTCGAGCTTCTCATTCGTCGCGTTCAACACATTTAGATATTTGTTACACTTTCAACTAATTTGTTACTATCGTATTAATACAACCACTTGGACAATTAATTCCTGCATTACAGAAAATATTTTCAAAAAAATAATTTCAGATTTTTATAGTTTTCTTGTTACCCTTCGCCGTTCCATCGCATTTTTTTCCCTCCGACTACATTTCATCCTAAAGAAAAAGAATCAACACACACCTCGTTATTTGGAATCTTCAATTATTAGCCTTGACAATAAAGCTGAATAGAACTCTGGCAGTTTTAACACCTCCATAGTTTTTGCTGCCACGATGCGGCCGTCAGACGAGATCATTTATGTTTGGTGTGTCCCACCTAGACTATACCTGTCCTTCATTGTAATATATAACACTGTTTTTCTTTACTTGGTATTTTTTTCACATGATTAAGACTCACGCCAAAGCCCCGGTCCTGGTGAACATTATACATGCATACTGTGTATTTAACTGATAAACCTCCTGGTGAGGGATACACACACACAGTTAAAAGATTTCTAGCAATGCACAAGAGATTTTCTTTTATATTTGTAGGTATAATATACTTCGTTTGATTAATGAAACTATTACAGGAGCAAAGTACGCCACCGTGCATTTCTAATTTGCCAGTATATCTCCGCATACTTCTTTCTAAGTACATATTCAATTAGTTTTGCTTCTTTAATTAACATATTCACTTTTATTTCCTTCGTCACATGCTGGTGCATTATGTTCCAGCATCAGCATTAATTTCACCTGAAATATTACCTGTCATCATTGTAAATGTGTATTCAGTCAGTATATTGACTACTGCCGTCCATTAAGCATTTCCGTGTATTTAGTACATAATAAAAATAATCTCTTCATTTCCGGTATTTTCACTTTTCCCAATACACACGAAAATACACACAGTGGCACTTTTTTAGGCAGATGTTTAAACCAGCTCGTTACTGCAAATATCTAATTAACCGCTCAGGCTGCAGCATCTCAATGCCTAAAATCATGCAGATTTAGTTAAAAGATTCAGTTGTTAAGACTGAACATCAGAACGGGGAGGAAATGTGATCTATTTATTCTTCAACGTAAACACTTTGTCTACACATTCCCTTGGCATTCTAAATCCTCCTTGTTCATCTGTCGTCTTGCTCTCAGTCTTACTCCAGATTCTTATAATAATAACCCTACAATACACTTTACCTGGTATACCCAGTAGGCTTATTTCCCTTTAATTTTTACTGTTCTGTCTCCCCTTCCTTTATATAAAGAAACTATGCACGTTCTGTGCAAGTCCCTAGGTACCTCCCCTTCTTTCGTACATTTATTGAACAGAAGTACCAACCACTCCAAATATACATGTATATCTCCACCTACTTTTAATATTTATATCATGATCCATTCAATTCCTCTTGCTTTACTCCATTTCAGTCACCTGCCGTTTCATGTTATGAAGTGCCAGTCACCAACGACCTCACGTTAGGAAGCACCAGTCACCTGTCGCCTTATGCTAGGAAGCACCAGATGCCTCCCTTCTCATGGCAGGAAGTACCAATCACCTGCCACCTCATGTTAGGAAGCACAAATCATTGCCGCCTTATGTCAGTACCGATCACGTGCCACTTGAGTCATCTCACGTTCATGAGGGTAGCCAATAGGCTGCGAGTGTGTGGGTCAGCTCTCCCATAAAAGAAGTGATGTAGCCCAGCTTGACTCATTCGTGTGCTTCTCGCTCAGTTGGCAGTGATCGATTCTCAGCTCGGTCACTGTGAGAAGCTTCTACATAATCACAAATACAAGTTTCTTTCAAGCTTGAGCAGCAAGGTAAAATTTTCATATATTTTATAGCATTTTATATAACACGGTATAGTTAGGACTTCCTGTTGATAGTTTGTCTGTCATGTATACGGTTGTTCTTAAGGATTGCGTGCATTTACTAAGCACGTCAAACTCACACCCACATTTATATTATTTAATTTTTACTTAATAAGTGGATGGAAATTTTGGTATACGTGTAATGGCTAATTATATACAAGTAAAGATTTTTTTTCTGATGATCATGTGATATTTGAAGATTTAGTGGAAAATATAGCATCTGAGAACAATGGGTTCGACTCCAGCCGTCCTGTGAAGTCTCATGCTCTTATTATAACCTCGTGTGGCAAATAATTTTCGACCCCTCTTGTTACATTACAGTAATAGATAATTATAAATCTCTGAGTAATATTTTATTATAACATTCATTGGTTTAGAATCACTTAGTTTGATCATGTTTGGTGCTACATTTGTCTTGCCACAGGTTCACATTTATTATGCTTTTTAGCTTAACGATGAGTTTACAAGTGTCTTGATGTTAAGATACAATGTAAAGAACGAACATTTACAGGAAATTTTCCACTCTAAGAAGAACTTTATCAAGTCACGACTTTGTAAAGTTCTACACAGTGAAACGTCCAAATAAATCTCTCTGCATATTTTTTTTCTGTTTCCATAACTGTCCCCTCAAGGGAGGTTCCTTGACGCTGGTGAGGGGCTCTTGATCTAGGGAACTGGATCTGTGCTCCATTTCCCTGCATTGAGCCTGATTACCTCCCATTCCTCCCCCACTTGCGCTGTATAATCCTACGGGTTTAGCGCTCCACATGATTATAATAATAATAATCCATAACTGTCGCATTACTCCCGTATATTCTAACCTTTCTTTATTTACAAGTATTATCTACATTTACAGTTCACTGCTATATTTTTTAATAGTATTTCATTATTTACAGTCGGTTGAAAATTATTCGAGTACTACTTGTCAATTGTATTTCATATTTGTTAAAGTGTACTTGTGTTTACAGTGCAGGAGACGAAATTTTGATAACACAGCCTAGTTACATAGTAACGAAGAGGCTGCTAACCTTCTTAACGGAAGCCTCATAACATGAGTTCACTGTCTGATCAAGTGTAGTTATGACAGAAATTTTTATTTGCACTGAGAAGTAGAATAAAGCTCTAGTCTTGCTATAGACTTTTATTCCTGAGATTGAAACAGTTCTTCTCAAAGTGACATTGAAATTTCTTACTATGTTGGTCAAGACTACGTTCATTATTATGACCATTATTCACATGTAACACTGGAAACTACAGGGCTTTTTTTTTTTTTAATTTAAGTCATCAGTTGTTCTACAGTAGACAGTGACTGATACTTTATTTTTCTTTAATTGTATTTAAGAATTGATTGTAGGTAAAATTATTAGGTTCAGTCAATCGAGGGGTTATTAAGAGCTTAAGGAAGTAATTAAAGGTCATTTATTTGGTTATACAAGCTCATTAACTTTTAATCAGTGAAGTTTTCTTTTCAGTCAGTTAATAGTAAATTACAGAGTTAAAGCTAAGAGAGCTATAATGATTGATAAATTATTTATGATTTATTCTTATATATTCTTGAGAACATATAATAAGTCCACCTTCACTGTCATCTGCTGTTCTGGGGACTCAATAAGTCTGCTTAATATAATACCTCCTAAGTACTGAGTTTCTCTGTAATATCTTTCACTAACATTCAGTTTACATTCAGATATTAAATCAAGAAAATTCGTTAAGCCGAAATATTTGCTGAGATGCTGCGAATTACACCCGATGTGATTGTATTGAGCGACACTTTCTCACAACGCTAAGAGATTTAGCATTTGTTACAATGCCTTTACTGACTGCTAGATAAATGCTGTACATGCTGGTGATACTTTAATGTTTCAGACTGCAGGAAAACACACAACTCTTTTTTAGAAGAAGTTGTGGAAAATTGCATTTATCTGAATGTAACTCGTTATGTACATAACAGTAAAAGATAACAAAGATAATTATTATTTATCAATGTTACATAGACAAGTAGGAATTTGGGACACCTAGGTCGCAAAAATGTCCCCCTTCGATACCTACCACTGTCATATCCACAAGTTGCTCTGGACCTATTAATTATCAAATGAAAATACATCAACAGGAATGCTGGTAAATATATAAATTTGTGGACTGTATATTAAAAAATGATTATATATAAATTCACATATACATAACAGAAGGAAAATATATCTTAATATCACTCACCAATTTGACTGGATATTAAGTTGTATCATACTCAGAAAAACCTCACTAACTAAATTTATGAAAACACTGGCCAGAATTATACACAAATCTAGAGAGCTTATCTGAGGTTCCTGGAGCTGTCTTGTCCAGTCGTCTGATATCTCAAGTTATGCAGGAATGCATGTCCAACAATTTCGCCTCCTATTTGAGAGGTGCCCAATCCAATTTTAACCTCTAGAGCACGAAAAATTCTTCCCATTATATTAACGTTGTATCCAATTCAAAACCAAGATGGCGAGTCCGTCTGCGCAGACGCAGGCTTTCCGTTTTCTATGACATAAATATTTTTAAAAATACAGTATGGCCATCTATTTACATATAAATATTGAATTTCTGGAGAATATGTACAGTATTTTCCACAGAAGTAATAATTTTGGCTTTCCGATTGCCTTTTTTCATCAGCGTTTCTTGCTAAGCCTCGCATTAATTACTTTTAGCAAACCGCAATGAGGCTATTTAAACTTCCGTATTCAAAATGTATAAACAGACATAATTTAATGTTTTGCCTATGCATTTATCCATTCTAATATTGTTTATCTTTAAAGAAAACTCAGTCGGCTCTATAGATCATGAAGTTCAAAGCATCGGTCTCTCTCTTCACTAGCAACAAGAATTTCTGACATACATCAGAAGAGCATCTCCCCCCGTTCTTCTTTCCCGTACTTTTAAACGACATCCGACCAGAATAACTGTACCTCTTTCTGTTTGGTGTAACCTCCGCCTTGTAGCTTAGTGGTGGCTGCTTCCGTTCACAACACAAGGACGTAGGTTCAAACTTTGACAGGTGGGGGAGAGGAATATTACACAAATAACCCGCAAATAAGTTTCTCTTATGACGATGTTTCGACGTTAATGGTCCAAGTCGGACCGAAACGTCCTCCTAAGT